AGGAGGCAGAGAGTCGGAGGTCATGGCCGGGGCCAGGCTGGGCCAGGCGTTTGCGAGGGCCTCTCTCTCTCGTTGCTGGCCAGGGGCAGCAGTGCAGGCTCATCAGCCCCGTGAAAAGGGAAGGCACAAACAGAGATCACAGCCCAGGCGCGAGGTGAGACCCGATCTCAGAAACACACTGTCTGCTGCGGGGTCTGTCTGACAGTTCTGTGACACTCGTGACCCAGCCCTGAGTGGAGACCACCTTCTTTAAGAGACAGAGGGGCTGGCCGCGGGGGAGGCTTGCTTCCCCATGGACCGGGGGGAGGACAGTGTGCATTTTACACATCACAGACTGAAAATACACTTCCATTTATAACATCGAGGTCAGGCCACTGTATGGACTGTGTGCAGATTTGTGTGTGGACGTGTGCTTGTCAGCTCTCCTAGGGAAGAGATTGCTAGGTGGCAAGCAGTGTCTGCATTCAGCCTTCCAAGCTCTGCAACCATTGGATCTGCACATGCAGAAGAATGACCCTGGTTCACAGAGACATCGTGCGGGAATCCAGTCAGCGCACCAGACACAGAGAAGCCGCTCCCTTTGCAAGGTCGAATCCGGAGTCTTTATTACAAAGCCAGCGATGGTGAGCTGACTCATGTCCCAAAGAACTCACAGCCCGGAAGGTGGCTAATCCAAAGCTTATAAAAGCACAAATAATCACACTGATCAGCATGAGGAACCAAGCCTATCAGGAGCATGACAACAGAAGCAACGCAAGCTGGTGGAAAACGTGAGCGCATCTGCACCTGAAAAACGGCTGCTTCACCCCCAGGGCTCCCAGCACGGAGCAGAGGCCCCACGGCCCGCGAGTCCACCCCCAGAGCTCCAGCACGCAGCGAAGGCCCCACCGCCCGCGAGTCCACCCCCAGAGCTCCAGCACGCAGCGAAGGCCCCACCGCCCGCGAGTCCACCCCCAGGGCTCCAGCACGCAGCGAAGGCCCCACCGCCCGCGAGTCCACCGAGACGGCGGTAGGCCAGGCCAGCGGCATGTGCACCCAGTGTCCACCGTTCAAGGCAACTGAAACGGAGCCCAGGCTTCAGCGTACACTTGAAGTTCAACACATCACCAAGGGGAACAGAGTTGTCGTCACCTCCCATTAGAAAAAGACGCCTTCCACTTGACATTTAAGGCAAGGTTAAGGAAGAAAAAAATGGGTAGGTTAGGGTTCATGTAAATAAGACCTGCTCTCCAAAAGACACTGGTGAGAGGAGGAGAAGGCAGGCTGCAGACGCGGAGACGGAGACGGAAAGGTGGCCGCAGACGCGGAGACGGAGACGCGGCTGCAGACGCAGACTCAGAGATGGAGACGCGGCTGCAGACGCAGACTCAGAGACGTGGTTGCAGACTCAGAGATGGAGACGCAGCTGCAGACGCAGACTCAGAGACGTGGTTGCAGACTCAGAGATGGAGATGTGGCTGCAGACGCAGACTCAGAGACGTGGTTGCAGACTCGGAGACAGAGATGCGGCCACAGACGCGGAGACAGAGACGTGGCTGCAGACGCGGAGACAGAGATGTGGCTGCAGACACGGAGACAGAGACGTGGCTGCAGACTCGGAGACAGAGATGCGGCCACAGACGCAGAGATGGAAACGCAGCCACAGACTCGGAGACGGAGACGTGGCTGCAGACTCAGAGATGGAGATGTGGCTGCAGACTCGGAGATGGAGACGCAGCCGCAGACACAGACTTGGAGACGTGGCCGCAGATGCAGACTGGGAGATGGAGACATGGCCACAGACTCGGAGACAGAGACGTGGCCACAGATGCAGACTGGGAGATGGAGACATGGCCACAGACTCGGAGATGGAGATGCGGCCGCAGACTCAAAGATGAAGACGTGGCCGCAGACTCGGAGACAGAGACATGGCCACAGATGCAGACTCGGAGACGGAGATGCGGCCGCAGACACAGACTCGGAGACGTGGCCGCAGATTACAACATAATGAACTCTGTAAGCGACGCATCTCCACAAATGGTACATAACTCAGAGGCTCACAAAAGACCGGCCTCTTAGTCACTGGGGGATTGCGAGTTAAATTCCACACCGATTCAATGGCCATTGCTGGCAAAAGCAGAGACAACCGGGTCTCAGCGACCAGCACCATGGAGGCCTGGGGCGGGGGGAGGAAACTGTCGATCATTCCAGATCTTATTATAATGGTGAGCAACAAAATGAACTGGCTAGCACTTGCAGAACTAAAGAGACAGGGTTTTGTTGTGTGGATTTCGCTTTAAGCCTAGGATGTAGCTGGCAGGGGAGGGGCAGGAGAGCAAACGCAGCTCAGCCACCCTCTGAGACTGCAGGCAGGAGACTTAGCTCCTCTGAGCCTCAGGTTCTTGTCAGTCTAGATGTTGAAGATAAAACCGTGGCAGACGGCTGGGTGTCCTGCGCAGCCTTGGGTGAAGGCCGGCTCCCCAGCGCCTGTCCTGGGGGCTCGGAGTCTGGGCTCTCGCTCAGGCTGAGGCCTGGGCGGAAGGCCCGGAAAGCAGGCAGGGATCCGTACCCTGCTGAGTGGCTTTCTCACCAGCCTGAGAATTTAAAAGCCTTTGTAAGAATTGAAAGCTCGCTCTGCCAGACAATTCATTTTTGCATCTTGCGTCTTCTCCAGGAGGCCAATCAGCTCAACTTCGTTCTTTCAATATGGTCACAGCCCTCACTTTTCAGAGCTGCTTAACCCTGCGTCCCTACCAGAGAGGGGGCTCTTACAGTGGAGAGGTGGATGGTATAATAACTTAATAACTGCTGGTGAAACACATCGAAAGCCGGGCGCCGGCGGCTCACGCCTGTCATCCCAGCTACTCAGGAGGCTGAGATCTGAGGATCGCGGTTCAAAGCCAGCCTGGGCAGGAAAGTCCATACGACTCTAATCTCCAATGAACCACCAGAAAACTGGACGTGGCGCCCTGGCTCAAAGTGCTAGTCTTGAGCAGAAAAAAGTTCAGGGACAGTGCCCAGGCCTGGAGTTCAAACCCCATGACTGACATAGAAAAAACACAACCTTGAGGACCGTGTGTGGGGTAGCGGCCGGCTGGACCATCTCAGTGGACAGACCAGCCAGCAACACCCTGGAAAGATGAAGCCTCTGAACCAGCTCACCATCCACCTGGCCACAGCCCCCACAGAGGCCTTTCCCCTACCTCTTCATCCATCCACCCAGTATCTACCCCTCCCTCCATCCACTCATCCACCCACCCATCCATTCATCCATCCCTCCATCTACCCATCCATCCATCCATCATCCAATCATCCATCCCTCTATCTCCTTATTTATCCATCCTTCCATCCACTCATCCACCCACCCATCCCTCCCTCCCTCCCTCCCTCCATCCATCCAAACTTAAAAATACACAAACACAATTCCAATAATATAACCAATAAAATCAATAAAGTTCAGAATAATACCCAGTCCATATTCAATATTCCCTAGTGACCTCAAAATTGTCTTTTATGTGTGGTTTGTTCAGATCAACCTTCCACAATGTATTTGGTTAATACATCTCAGGAATCTTTTTTGTTTATCCTTTTAATTTTTTTTTAAAACTTATGAGCCGGGCACCATTGGCTCATGCCTATCATCCTAGCTACTCAGGAGGCTGAGATCTGAGGATCACGGTTCAAAGCCAGCCTGGGCAGGAAAGTCTGTGAGCTCGCATCTCCAATAAACCACTGGAAAACCAGAAGTGGCGCTGTGGCTCAAGAGGTAGAGTGCTCGCCGTGAGCCAACAGGGCAGGGACTGTACCTCAGGCCTGAGTTCAAGTCCCAGGACCAGCACAAAAAAAATAAACAGAATTAATTGAACGGCTAATGCTTGCAAGAAAGTAAAGCATTTTCCCAAGCAGCGCAGCAGGCACGCAGTGAAATGCTCTTCTCTTGCTCCTCCAAGACAGTGCTGCCTATGTCCTGCGCAGCCTCCCAGCCTGGCCTCCACACAAGCCGGCCCCTGACATCGCCAGGCAGAGAGGACTCAGGTTCAAATCCCCTTCCTGCCACATGCTCAGCACCAACGTTGGGCAGAGGACACGGTGGCCCTGGGGCAGCTCAGCCTGTAATGACGGGGCGTAACTCGGTGCTGCTGGGAGGCGGCGTCAGGCCGGAGGCAGCGGATGACCTGGTTCACACACATCCCCGCTGGACCCCCACCGGCAGGATGAGGGCGGTTTCCTTGGTTTGTGTGCACTGTGTTCTGCGTCTGACACACTGCGACGGTTCCACATCTGTTCTTACAGATTTGTGTCCTGGTCGCTGCTCTCTGGATGGACTCATTATTACCAGACACGCGAGGCGTCGCGCGCACCCTTGCGATCCTCCACGGGGTTGAGGTCTAGCCTACCCACAGGAGGTCCACGCCATGCTTCTGCTTTGCGGCCTGGAGTTCCCTGGCTCCTCCCCTGCCCTGGGGGGGGGGACTGACAGACAGACAGAGCTCCACTTCCCCGCCAGGCCCCACACTTGGAAAGCACTGCGTTTCCTCTGTTCCCCCAAACACAACCCCTAGAAACCGACTGCTGCGTTTCCTAAGGGGAAACGTCTCCTCCTCCGCAGCACCACCCCACACCCAGCCGCGCGGTACGTTAGAACAGACCTCGTTCGAAATGGCTCTGCAGGAACCCCAGCCACAGCTCGGGCCCCGCATGTGTGGTTCTGAGTTACAAAGTCTTCCTGAGCGTTTAATAAATGCCTCTCCCACGCCTCCCACCGGCCATTTCTACACTTTAATGATGAGCCTATCTTTGTTTTACTTTTTGTCAGTGCTGGGATCTGAACTCAGGGCTCCATGTTGGTGGGCAGACATCTCTAAATCTTTTTATCTCCCCCTTGTAAATTGGTCACTCAGAATGCAATGCAGCCATCGAGAGGATTTATGATTTCTGAAACACGAAAGTTAGGGGGCTGGCTGTTTTGTTTTCCTGTTTCGCTTGCTCACGGGAAGTGCTCACTCTTGGCTTATCTCCAGTTTTCCCAGACCTGCTGCCGGCGGTGCCAGTGAGCGTCCACATCAACGTCCTTCTCTTCGCCACGATGCTCGCGGTCCTCACCATGGTGGTGGCTGGCTTCTTCATGTACAACGCCGTCGGCAAGCCCTTTGAAACCCTGCACGGCCCGCTGGGCTTGTACCTCCTGAGCTTCATTTCAGGTAAGGACAGAGTTCCTCCTCCTGCCTGCATGCTTCCCAGGCCCAGAGACTCTGCGGTGTTACGAAGTTCCACACGTGCCAGGAACAGGCGGAGGAACACCACCCCGCCCAGCCACACGGACCCACGGCTCTGACCCGATGGCTTTAAGATGTCAGCAGGAAGCAAAGTACTCAGAGGAAGTGTTAGGTGGAAAAGCAGCGCATGTTATAAACGCTGCACTCGCTTTCTGTGTAAAAGCACATCGACCTGGCATAGGAGCGCACAAACTGAGCACGTCAGCACCCTATCACTGCAGATACTCAGCACGTCAGCACTCTATCACTGCAGATACTCAGCACGTCAGTACTCTATCACTGCAGATACTGAGCACGTCAGCACCCTATCACTGCAGATACTGAGCACGTCAGCACTCTATCACTGCAGATACTGAGCACGTCAGTACTCTATCACTGCAGATACTCAGCACGTCAGTACTCTATCACTGCAGATACTGAACACGTCAGTACTCTATCACTGCAGATACTGAGCACGTCAGTACTCTATCACTGCAGATACTGAGCACGTCAGTACTCTATCACTGCAGATACTCAGCACATCAGCACTCTATCGCTGCAGATACTCAGCATGTCAGCACCCTATCGCTGCAGATACTGAGCATGCCAGTACTCTATCACTGCAGATACTGAGCACGTCAGCACTCTATCACTGCAGAAACTCAGCACGTCAGCACTCTATCACTGCAGATACTCAGCACATCAGCACTCTATCACTGCAGATACTCAGCACGTCAGCACTCTATTGCTGCAGATACTCAGCACGTCAGCACTCTATCGCTGCAGATACTGAGCACGTCAGTACTCTATCACTGCAGATACTGAGCACGTCAGCACTCTATCACTGCAGATACTCAGCACGTCAGCACTCTATCACTGCAGATACTCAGCACGTCAGCACTCTATCACTGCAGATACTCAGCACGTCAGTACTCTATCACTGCAGATACTCAGCACGTCAGTACTCTATCACTGCAGATATATGGATGTTATGTAGACATATGGATGTGTGGGAACAGAGAGGGAGAGGGAGAGAGGCAGGGATGGAGGGAGGGAGGG